ATATACATTTAGGACTGTTATGCCTTCTTGAAAAAGTGACCCCTTTATCATAACGCAATGACCCACTTTATTCCTGATAACTTTTCTTGCTCAGATAATCACTTTTGTCTGAAATTAATATATCCAGTCACACTTTCTTTTGATATTTCTCCATCCACTTACTTTTAATCTGTCTTCATATTTAAAGTGGGTTCCTTTAGATAATACAGAATTGAATCTTGCCATCTGTTCCATTCTGATACTCTTTTATTTTTATTTTTTTTATTTATTTTTTTTTAGAGAGAGAGAGAATTTTTTAATATTTATTTTTTAGTTTTCGGTGGACACAACATCTTTGTTTGTATGTGGTGCTGAGGATCGAACCCGGGCCGCACGCATGCCAGGTGAGCGCGCTACGGCTTGAGCCACATCCCCAGCCCCTGATACTCTTTTAATTGGTATATTTAGGTCACTGACATTTAAAGTGACCACTGATATAGTTTAATTAATACCCAGTATATTTGTGACTGTTTTTTGTTTCCCCTGTTCTTGTTCCTATTTTTTTTCTTTCAACTCTTTTTCTGCATATGTGGCTTCAATTGAACATTTCATATTCCACTTTCCTTTCTTAGCATAACAATTATCCTTTTAAAATAATTTTTACTCTTTCAGTGGTTGTCTTGAGAGTTTTTAACATACATTTACAACTACTCCAAGTCCACTTCCAAATAACATTATACAATCTTGTGGTTAGAGCAAATACCTTACAAAGTGCAAGTAATTCTAATTCTTCTCTCCTATTCCTTGTATCATTCCCATTATTCATTTCACTTATGTATAAGCACATGTATATTATATGTACATAAACACAATCAAATACCTTGTGGGTAATACTAAACAAACCTTTCTGCTACATAAATTAAGAATAAAATGTTTCTATTTTCCCTTCACCTATTCCTTCTCTGACAGTCCTATAGATCCTCGTTTCTGACCTATACAATTTTCATTCTTTCTAAAGAACATTTTAAGCTTAGCATGGTGGTACATGACAATAATCCCAGCTACCTGGGTGGCTGAGGCAGGAGGATCACAAGTTCAAGGCCAATCTAGACAACTTAGCAAGACTCTGTCTGAAAATAAAAAATAAAAAGGGATGGGAATGTAGCTCAGTGGTACACACCAGTGGTTCGAACCACAGTACTCCAGCCACCAGTAACAAAAAAGAAAAAGAAAAACTTCCTTTAACATTTCTTACAATGTTGACCTACTATCAACAAATTCATTCAACCTCTATTCAATCAAGAAAATCTTTATTTTTCCTTCATATTTAAGGAATAATTTTGCAAGGTACAAAGTTACGGGGTTAGTAGAATTTTTCTCTCAACACTTGAAATATTTCAATTGTTTTTTTTTGTCTGAATGTTATCTGAGAAAATGTTAAATGTAATTCTTAGGTAAGGTGTTTCTGCCCTCTTTGTCTTCTCAGAATTTTCCTTTTTTTTTTTTTGGAGCTACAGGTTGAACCCAGGTGTGCTTAACCATTGAGCCATATCCCAAGCCCTCTTTTAATTTTGAGATAGAGCCTCACTAAATTGCTTAAAGCTTGCTCAATTGCCCAGGCTCGCTTCGAACATGAACACGCAATCCTACTTTAGCCTCACAGGTAGCTGGAATCACAGGTGTGTGACACCAGGCCTGGCCTGCTGGAGTTTTTATCAAAGTCAATTTAACAAGATCTGGTTCCAAAATAAAAATTTTTAAAAGGGCAGAGGATGCAGCTCGGTGGTATAGCATGCTTACCTGACACGTAAGGCTCTGGGCTTAATCCTCAGTACAATTAAATACACACATACAGTTTAAGGTTTGCTTAAATAGTTTCTCCCAAGGACAGATTAAGAACACATTAATCTAGCTAGCATATTTCAAAATGTTACTTTTCCTCTCCCCATGCCAGACCCATGAGGGGATTGTCTCTAATATTTATCATGACAACCTGGTCAAGGTTTGGAGGTAATATTCAGAAAAATAGGATCACACTGCAGCTATGAACTCACTAAGTTTTTGTCCCTCAGACTTGTCCATAACAAACCATTTAGCAAAAGTCAAAAACTGCCTAGGTTTTCCCAGTGTAGCACTGATTCTCACAGAGGTTTTGTTCAAGAGTTCCTGTTTTGATAAGCTGTGATTTCCTGTTCTTTTTGTCTTTCCAATTTTGGGAACAGCAGTTTGTCATGTGACTTTAATTTTCTTAGTGTCCTAAGATTAGCTGATTTCTTAGTTGGTTCAGCTTTTTACATGTCATAATGAAGAAGTAATTTCTAAACGCCTTAACATGCCTGACTGGAAACCAGTTATTTCTATTAACATTCAGTTCTACTAAAGATGAAACTGGAGAAATTCCTTACTCTTTCATTCATTCACTATGATAGACTCTACGCAGGCTTTAAGCTTAGCATGATGGTAAATGACAATAATCCCAATAGGAAACTATATCACATTCTTGCTGTCCTTCAGTTTTAGTCATTAAAATACAATGAAGATGACTCAGCCACAAAGAAGAATGAAATAAAGGCATTTGCCAGTAAATGGATGGAACTGAAGAATACCATGCTAAGTGAAATAAGCCAATCCCCCAAAAAATCAAAGGCCAAATGTTCTCTCTGGTATGTGGAAGCTAACCCAAAACAAGGGAGGGTGGAGAGGAAAAGAACAAAATCCATTCCCTTTTGTCTAAAAGTGTTTTGAATGAAGGAAGAGCCAACCACCACATGGAACAAAATCTGATGCAACAGAAGAAAATAACCTGAAGGGGAATGGATCATGAATTAAAAATATATATACACACTTGTTAAAGGAGAAGAAAGAAAAAGCTGCTACACTGAAAATACTAAGACTGGGAAAAACTAGACATAAAATCAGCAAGCATACAGAAGAATTTAACAATTCTACCAGACAAAAAAATCTAAACACTTATAAAACACTTATAATAACCACAAAATAGGAGAACATACTTTCTTTTCAACTTATGTCATATAATCAAGTATATCATACAGAACATATACCAACATAAACCATATCCTGGACTGTAAGACAAACCTCAAAAAATTTTTAAGAACTGAAATTATAAAGAGTTCTCTAATATAATTCAAAACAATGGAATTACAGTAAGGATCATTAACAAAGATAATAAGAAACTCTAACAGCACATTTCTAAATAATCCATAGGTCAAAGAGGAAGTCTCAAAGGAAAATGAAAATAAAAAAACAAAATGTGTGGGACACAGCAACACTGATTGAAATTTATATCACTAAATAAGAGAGAAATTATCAAAAAATCTAAGCTCTCACACAAAGAAACTAAAAAATAGTAAACTAAACCCAAAGCAAGAAAAAGATAATAATAAAGAACAGAAAAAAAATGAAATTTGAAATCAAAAAGTAACAGAAAAATGAACAAAAGAAAAATCAATGTTCTTGTTTTTTGGTGGAGGTCAATAAAACTAACAAATTTCTAACAAGACTGTCAAAAACAAAAAAGGAGAATATACTATCAATAAGAGCAATTAAATAGGGACTATCAATATAGACCCCCACAGATAAAGACTAAAAAGGGAAAACGATAAACAACTATATACACAAAATTAACATGTCAGATGAAATGGACCAATGCCTTGATACATATAAACACATACTATTGCAGTTTAGCCAATATAAAATATATCATTTGAACTACCCCATAATCATTAACCTATTAAAGTCCTAAGATTTCAGTTCTGTAAATATTTCAATGAAACTTGCACGGGTGCATTAAATATATTAAAAGTTATAATCTAGAAGTTATACATTCTTTATTATCATTAAAAATGAAAATACAGGGCTGGGGTTGTGGCTCAGTGGTAGAGCACTTGCTTATCTAGCATGTGTGAGGCACTGGGTTAGATTCTCAGCATCACATATAAATTTTTTTAAAAATGAAAATAGATTGTTCTATAAATAGAGCACTGGAACAACACAGTACCTTTTACTACATTTAGAAGCCATTCTATAAATATAACATCGGGCAAATAAATATCCTTTCACACTTCACGCAGTATGTAAAAACCAGGTCAACAATTAATTTTGATGGAAAGGAGCAAATTACTTCAAACATAGGGTTACATTATTGACAATATGTTGGTGGTTTCACATAACAGAATTTGTTCTGTCATCATCATTGTTCTTGCAATTCTGGAGCATGGCTGCTCAGGTTAAATCTGATATCACTGTGGGAGTAGTAGGTCTGGAAGTATTACATTTTTTTTCCTCCTGATGGTTTCTGACTGCATCATTTTAAGTATACTAACTGCATCATTTTAGGCATACTCTACGGAAATACAACAAACTCATGAGATCTTGTCTTTGTTCACAAATGTTTGAATAATCCATGCACTTATGATACACACACTAATTATTCAAGTGAATAAAGTGAATCAGTTTTTAGCTTTAATAAAAGGGGGCTATTAGAAACAAACCAAATGTATTCATTTTCACCACCATTACCTTTGGTTAAGGTACACTGACTTTACTCTATTTCTCTATAATTGAACTTTGCCAAATGATCACACTATATTGTTTTTAATCCAATAGTGACACATTTTAAAATCTATCCATTTTAAAATAAGAATTTCATTATTTGTGTCAAATCTGTAACCATATGAACCTCAGACCTGTTTTTTCATCAATGTTGTTGGTTTCAGCAGGTAATTGTCTAGTCTGTTTCCTTAGTGGTGCCTGTAGCCTAGAATCCAATATTTCACAGGTGTAACAAGTCATAACCAAAGAATAGATTGTTGGAAAAAACAGAGTATGATTGTGGATTCTCTACTACTTCGAGCCTATGTAGAATTACCTTACTTCCAAGCAAAGAATTATCAATGGGTTCTTCTCAAGCACTTTTCCCACAATATAAGTCAAAGTTAAGTAATATCCTGATACTTCACATAGTGCCCAGAATTTAAAACCACATCTTACTAAGAGCTTACCTCTTATAAACTGTTTCAGCAAACTGGGTCCATGATATCTGATAACCATTTCATCCACTGTCAAACATTCTTCAAAGATACCAAATTTCATGCATGACTTTTGTATCTTATTTATTAGAAGATGAATTTTAAAACCTTTATCTTCAACATTCTCTTGCCATTCATTATTGTTGCAAAAATGTATGGTACTTTTCAGCTCCTGGAAACGATTTCTTGACACTGCATTTTTGATGCATATACCCAAATCTTCATCATTTGACCAGTACCTTCTTATGGAGGGTAGCTTATGATAACCTGAAAACATAAGAATTCCTAAAAATGTTTTTAACATCTATACTATGTACTTCAAATTTATTCTTACTTTCTGAATAGTGGACATTGACCATTTCCGGTATCAATAGTTCTTCAAAAATCTCCATCAAGCTATAATGTGCCAATGAATTCCTCATTTTCCATAAGCAGTCAAAAATAAGTGCTTTCTCTAAAATACTCTTTCTCTTTGCAGGGAAATGGATGGCATTAGAGCAGATTATGCTAAGTGAAGCTAGCCAATCCCTAAAAAACAAATGCCAAATGTCTTCTGTGATATAAGGAGAGTAACTAAGAACAGAGTAGGGAGGAAGAGCATGAGAAGAAGATTAACATTAAACAGGGATGAGAGGTGGGAGGGAAAGGGAGAGAGAAGGGAAATTGCATGGAAATGGAAGGAGACCCTCAGGGTTATACAAAAGTACATACAAGAGGAAGTGAGGGGAAAGGGAAAAATAATACAAGGGGGAGAAATGAATGACAGTAGAGGGGGTAGAGAGAGAAGAGGGGAGGGGAGGGGGGATAGTAGAGGATAGGAAAGGCAGCAGAATACAACAGACACTAGTATAGCAATATGTAAATCAATGGACATGTAACTGATGTGATTCTGCAATCTGTATACGGGGTAAAAATGGGAGTTCATAACCCACTTGAATCAAAGTGTGAAATATGATATATCAAGAACTATGTAATGTTTTGAACAACCAACAATAAAAATTAAAAAAAAAAAACAAATCCTCAAAAAATAAAAATAAAATAAATAAATAAAATACTCTTTCTTTCTTTCACTTTTTGGTACTAGGGATTGAACCCAGGGGTGCTCATTATCACTGAAGTATATCCCCAACCCCCTTTATTTTGAGGCAGGGTCTCACTAAGTTCCCAGACTGATCTTGAACTTGAGATCCTTCTGCCTCATTCTTCAAAGTTGGAAATATAGTCTTGGACCACCATACTCAGCTCTGATATATTCTTTAGAGTAAGAAAACATAGGTCATACTTGTCAATTAAAAAAAAAAAAGTAATAACACATTAAAGTTTGTCAGCCAGCAGTGCGGCATACTACTATACATTGTCCCAGTGTACTATTTATAGGACAGCTATGTTTGAACATTGATATTTGAAACACAGGGCATTCCTCAAAATAGAAACAACAAGCATAGTACTAGAAAATACTTTCATAAATGCAATTCTTATATTACATATCAGTTATGTACATATATTTTGTTAAACTGAACAGTAGTAACTTTTACAGTTTTGTTTATACAATTTTCACAATGAATTCTAAAAATATTTTCAAACACTCTAGTCATTTACTTTTACTATTCTCAAAAGTACAGAAATCCCAAAACATAATTAAAGTTCCTAAAAATGATATATTTGTTGTTCAATTTAAGTTTTTAATAGGTGTTACACACCTGGGACAATAGAACAAAGTGGGATAAAGAAACTGAAAAAAAAAAAAAAAAGAAGAAAAAGAAAGAAATCTCTTTCCCAATTGGTTTCACTGTAGCACCTTATCAAACATTTAAAGAAATAATATTGGTGCTACACAATGCTTCTAGAAAAATAAAAGAGATGAAAATTTATCAAATATTAACCTTAAATCACAAACAGAAAAAGGTTGAACCAAACAAAAACAAGACCCAAATGATAGTCTTCATGAGTTTAAACAGAAAACAAAAAAGCAACATATAAAAAGAATTTTAAATTATAACTTTAGGCGGTTTATTCTAGGGATACAAGGAAGATTCAATATTCAAAAATCAACTATGAGTTTAAAAAACATAAAAAATAAATTTGTATTCAATGCACATTAACAGCTTAATATCTATCAACTTATACAGAAAAAGAATTTGACAAAATTCAACACCCATTCATTAACAAAACTATCAAAAACCTTGGAAGAAAGGGGAACTTCCTCAACTATATAGCTAACATGAAAAAATGAAAAAACATTAAATGTTTTCCTTCTAAAACTGAAAACAGCAGAGATGTCTGCTCCCACACTGCTATTCAACAAAGTACTAGAAGTTCTATCCGGGGCAACAAAGAATAAAAGGCATACTGAAAGGAAGAGAACAAATAAAGCTGTCACTTTTTTCGAATGTCAAGTTAGTCTACATACAGTCCTAAGGAATCAACAAAATGCAAAAGCAAAATCCAAAACAATACTTATTAGCTACAACTAATAAATTAGGTTTAGCAAGGTAACAATATATAATTTCAACATATAAAAATCAATAGTATTTCTGCATATTAGAAATGAACATACACAAGTACAATTTAAAACACAACACCAAATACTTGGCTACCATCTCTCAAAAACACCAAATATTAACAACAAACCTAATAAAACATACATGGGACTTCTAGATTAAAAGATTTTATAAAACGCAGAAAAAAAGATCTAAATTTTATGCAAGTTTAACACAATTCCTGTAGACAGGATTATTCTAAAGTTTATATGGAAAGACAAAGAAACTAGAATAACTAATCCCAATTTTGAAAAAGATTCAAACATAAGGAAATCACTGATTTCAGGATTACATAACTACATTTAGACGCTATGGGACTGGCAGAGGGAAACACAAATGGATCGCTAAAACAGAATGAGCCCAACACAAGTACAGCCAATAGAGTTTTTACAAATGTGCAAAAGCAATCGAATGGAGAAAGGCTATCTTTTCAACAAATAGTACTAAAGCAAATAAAGGAACCTGACCTAAACTTCAAACCTTATTGTATAAATCAACTCATCGTGGATTTAAATGCATAAAGTTTTGGAGGAAAAAAAGATGAAATTTTTTTAAGACCTAGAACTTGATGAAGAGTTCTCAAACTTCAAAAACATGAGGCACAAAAGAACAAAAATTGATAAACCAAACTTCATCAAAATTCTAAAATTTTACTGTAAGACTCTATTTAAGAGGATGAAAGGACCAGCTACAGATTGGGAGAAAATACCTTAAAATCACATATTTGACAGAGGAGTCACATTTAGAATATATTAAGAACTCTCAAAATTCAACAGTAAGAACCAAATAATCCAATTAGCAAATGGGCAAAAGACATGAAGAAACATTTTACAGAAGAGGAGAAAGGGATGGTATATAAGAATTTGAAAAGATGTTCAATATCAGCAACCATGAGGTTGTGTAGTTGTGTAGTTCGAGTTCATACAAAATAAGACTGCATGAACTCAAACTACACAACTAGTAGAAGAAAAAATAGAATTCTAAATGTTGATGAAGATGCAAAGAAACTGGATTGCTCCTTCACTGCTGCAAATGTAAAATGGTTCATCTGGAAAATCTTTTAACAGTTTCTTGAAAATCTAAATATATACTTCCCAGATAATCCAACAATTACACTTCTGGCATTTATCCCAGAGATATGAAAACTGTGTTCAAACAAAAATATACACATGGCTGTCCATAGAAGATTTAGATGTAATATGAAAAACCAGGAAGAACAAATGTATCCTACAATAGATGGTTAAATGAACTGTGATACATCCACACCACTGAACACTATCAGCAATAAAAAGGAACTCAGGTTACTGGGAACAACATGGATGATTCTCCAGGTCACTATAGTGAGTGAAAAAAAAAAACCAATTTTTAAAAAATCATATACTATACGATTCTATTTATGAACCATTCTTGAAATGACAATATAGAGATAGAGAACAGATTAGTGACTAACAGCACCTAGGGATTTGGGGGAAAGAATATGTGGTAGTAGACTGGTTCTGTCCTTGGCAGTGGTAGTTACACAAACCTACAATGAGGAACTAGAAGGTTTTGATATTATACTATAGATATGTAACATATAAATAATGAGAAAATCAAGTGAGGGATATACAGGATCTTTGAAAATTCTTGTGAATCCATAATTATATAAGGAAGTACATAAATTTTTCAAAATCTTGGGGGACACATTAAGAAAAAAACATCAACAACAAAATGAAGACAGGGAAAGCTGATGGCTTCCAGACTTCTTTATCACTGTCTTACTGTTACTTAAAAAAAAAAAAAAAGAAGTTGAGTTAAAGCACAAGATACTCTAACTATAAAAATGTTAGGTATTGCTTGAGTTTGAAGATACTGATGAGTCACGCACTCTAGGTATAGACTTCTCAAAGCACCCTGGTCAGCTTTAGCATACTTCAATAGGCTACCAGTGAGAGGATAAATTGGTCCAAACTATATGGTCCACAAATATATCAATACCCTAACAAAGTTGCAAATGTTTACCCTCTGGTCCAGCAATATAGTTATGTCCAGCATTTTTTAAATGAAACAGAATACGAAAAGGAAGCAACTGAGTACAGGATGCCTAGTAATGGTATTGTTTCAGATATCTGCAGACAGTATTGTTTCAGATGTTTATGAGTACATATATGTATACTGGATGAGAATGCAGAGTTTTTTGGTGGTATTAACAACTGAACTCAGGGCCTCCCACATGCTAGGTAAGCTCTCTATCCCTGAGCTACTTCCCCAGCCCATATAAAATAAATTTCTTACTATAGGTTGCCATCAAAGAAGCTTAGAAGCTGCCATTTCAGCTTCAAAAAGAAAACCTGAGGCAAAGGTGAAATGCTGACACTGAGAAGGGAGCATATAATGCCAGACTAGGAGGAGAGTGTGATCTGGGCATGGTGGCACACACCTATAATCCAAGTTACTTGAGAGACTAAGGAAGAAAGGTCACAAATATAAGTCAACTTGGGCAACTTAGCCAGACTCTCTCAAAAGAAAAGAGTTGGGGATGTGGATCAGTGGTAGAATGCTTGCCTAGAATCCATGAGGACCTGGGTTTGATCCCCAGCCCTGCCCACACCCGCAAAAAAGAGAGCAAGTCGGAGAGGTAATTAATTGGCATACTCAGAACATATATTCAAATTCCCATCATCTTTCCCCTTTTCCTCATGAAATTGTTAGTTGTTTCTAATTGTTAGCTGTTTGCTGTAGGTTAGC